ATCAACCCTGGAGACCCAGAGATTGACAGATACAATTTACCATTACAATCAGTATAAATGGACACCACTATGAAAACTATTAATGTTTTCAGATGTTCCCCAKAGTTCTCAAGGCCTGTAGATCTGGGTTTCATTACCTGTGTCATCGCAGTTTCTTAGTTGTGCCAGAAAAAGATGGTTAACCTGTCAGTCTCAGTTTTGTTATCTGTAGCATGGAGATATTAGGGGAATGCACACTGCACAAATTATTATTATTATTAATTATTTTTGGCATTGGAGATTGAACCCAAGGATGCTTTACCGCTGAGCTACATCCCCAGTCCCCTCTTATTTTTTGGGGGGGGGAGGGGGCAGGGTCTCGCTAAATTGCTGAGGCTGGCCTTAAATTTGAGATCCTCCTGCCTTTGTCTCCCAAGTTGCTGGGATTACAGGTGTGTGCCATTGTACCTGGCTCAGAGAATTCTTGAAAAGGATTTGGTGTAATGTCTGTACAGTGCTTCGCCTAGTGCGCAACTAAGAGGTTGCAGTAAGTTGTCACCATTTTTTTTTCTTTCTTTTTTTGGTGCTGGGGATTGAACCCRGGGCCTTGGACTTACAAAATAAGCACTCTACCAACTGAGCTATACTTGCAGCCCCAGTTGTCAACATTTTTATTAGTCATGCATTCAGGAACTTCTGTATATGTGGACTGCAAAAACAAGCAGACTGCACTTCCAAGGAATATGGTGTTCCTTGTTATGTTCTTCAGTTCTTTTTTCCTGTTGGTGTTCTGTAGATGTAACCTTCAGGAGTACCCCGTTGTTTCTGCAGTGCTCAGTAAACAGTACTCACTTTCAGCAGTCGTTGGTGGCACTGGCAAGAGAGCCATTTGGAAACATGGGGAGTTTGGCAGGCTGAGTGGTGTTTGTTTTTGGAGACTGCCTTGGCATAATCCTAGGTGGAAGCGATGCCTGGGGTTTCTCACTGATTCATCCCTTTGGTGTGAATTCTGAAGAAACTGCATCTGACTTGAGGGATGGGCAGGAGGAACACCTAGGACTTCATTAAAGATGTGCTTCTTTGAAATTTCCTTTCTGAGAGATTATTCCACATCATTTGAATTTCTTCCTTTTTAATCTGAACAACTTTGATTGCTGGTRGAAATAATTAGAAACCGTTCTGGTATTTTTGGTACAATTAAAAAATTTTACTCTTATGTAATTAATAGAATGTTAGGATTTTAGAGCTGGTGGGACCCACACAACTATGCCACTTGATGGGTAAAGCTCATCCATTAGAAGGGAAAGAACACAGGGCTTCTTGACATCAAGGCCAGTGCCCTTCCTTGCTCATGTTGGCTAGAGAAGAGTATGTTAGCCAGAGAGCTGGTACATTTTATTACAAGCTAGCCTAAGACAGCTATTATTATTATTATTGACTATTTATCTGAAATGCTTTGGGCCAGAAGTATTTCAGATTTTAGTTTTTGGAATATTTGTACACACATAATAAGATCTCTTGGGAATGGGATCCAAGACCTGAAAAAAAAAACAATTCATTTATTTTTCGTATACACCTTATGCACATAACCCGAAGGTTATTTTATACAGTATTTGTAGTGAGCCTGTTTCTTGACTGCTTCATGATATCAGGTGTGGAATCTTCCACTTATAGTATCATGTCAATGCTCAAAAAGTTTTGGATTTTGCAACATTTTAGACTTTGGATTGCAGATTGGGAATGGTCTTCTTGCAGTACATAGTGTGCTTCTGCGGTCCCTTCTGAGCACACAATTTACTACTCCCTATAGTTACCAGTTTATCACCTAGAGTAGCAAGCAATTTAGGAGTCTCCGTGGCTTAACACAACAAAGATTTACCTTTTGCTCACATATTGTGTCCAATCTGGATTAGGTGGAAAGTGTCTTTGCTCTGTTCTGCACAGTAACTCATGGACTTTGGCTGATAGGAACCCCATCGTCTTACAGCCAGCCATTTAGCATAAGTGCCTTCCAGGTTGCCATGGCAAGACAAAGAACTCACACCCACTCTTCTATGCATCTGCCCAGAAATGCTAAGTCATTTTGCRCACTGCCCGTTGGTCAGAACTGGTCACATGACCATACTGAGTTGCAAGGGATTTAGAAATATGGGTAATACGTGGAATATTTGAGCTTTACCAGGAGAAGCGAGGCAAGGTATTAAYGCTAGTTAAAACTGTAATTTGGAAAATTGTAGCTTCCCGTTTTTTAGGTCTACCAAGTTTTATGACTCTCCCAGTTTTTTAAGCGTCCATATTCATGAAGGCCATTGTGGCAATGACCTTTCTGGTTAGCCTGGTGAGGACAGGGAAGGTACTGCCAACCACAGGGTCCATGAGCAGAGCAGCACACAATAGACCACGATAGAGGAATTGTGGGGCCAGCTGTGACGTCATTACCAGAAAGGATGTTAGATGATCTGGGCTGTGGCATGCATCCTCCTGGTTACTTTGTGTGGTTAACTGTCCCTCACCCCCCAAAAGATAAAAAGGACCTAATTCCTAATTTTTAAAGGAATTTTTAAAAATTTTATTTTATTTTAAAATTTGTTCTAATTAGTTATACATGACTGTAGAATGCATTTTGACACATGGGACACAAATGGAGCACAACTTCTCCTTGGCTAAAGGAATTATATAGAGATGTGATTAATCTTCAGATGTTGGGATTATCCTGGATTATCGTGGTAGGTAACTAGTGCCATCATAGCTTGTATCCTTAAAAGGAGGAGGTGGGGGAGATGTGACAGAGAAGAAGAGGAGGGGAGAGTGGGACCATGGTRACAAAGAGTGGAGTGACGTGGTCCCAAGCCAAGGAATGCCTACAGCCACCAGAAGCTGGAAGAGGTGAAAAGTGAATTCCCAGAACCTCCAAAGAAGATATGGCGTAGCTGCCATCTTGATTTCARTCCAGTGATACTGATTTTGTATTTCTGGACTCCACCTTCTGTAAGAAAGTAAGTTTCTGTTGTTTTAAACTGCCAAGCTTGTAGGTATTTTTATTTAAATAAAAAAGTAGCAGTGAACTAATTTACTTTGGTACATACAATAGCATTTTTCATCTGTAAGAGTGGCAGAGATCACCAAATTCAATAATACTTTACATTGGTGAGGTTGTGGGAAATAAAGTCTGACCTGTATTGCAGGTAGGAAGGCAGTTTAGTATATAACATCTGTGGGGGTAGTTTGGCAAGATCTATCAAAATTATCTCCTTCGACCCAGTACATTATTCAAAGTCTGGAATTTATGTATGAAATGATGTAAAAACAAGAATATTCATTGTACCATTGTTTTTGGTACCCAGAGATTAAAAACTACCTAACTGTTCATCAAGTGAGCCTGTTAAGTAAATCACAACACAAACATTCAATAGAATACTGTTATCATATTTAAGAAATGAGGAAACTCTTTATTCAATACTTAAGTGAAACAATCCCCCCTACCCTCCACACTCAATTTTATTATAATGCTGGAAGTTTTTTTTTTTTACATTGTAGATGGACACAGTACCTTTATTTCATTTATTTGATTGTTTATTTATTTTCACATGGTGCTGAGGATCAAACCCAGTATCTCACACATGCTAGGCAAGTGCTCTACCACTGAGCTACAACCCCAGTCCCTGGAAGAATTCTTAAGAAACTGATAATGTGAATATGAATGTGAATATCTGTGCAAAAAACAAAAAGAAAAAGAMAAGTTAATAAATAAACGAAGTTAAGTTTTATGKCWCTGCAAAGCCCTGCGATAAGGAAACCTGGTTAGTTGTGTTTGTTCATTTCCATGAGTAACATCCAGTACAGTCTGGGTTCTGTAGAATGCACTAGAGTAATTCTTTTCAGTGTATTGCCATACCTAGACTTATTCTACTTATTCTGATTTCCCTCTCTCTCTCTCTCTCTCTCTCTCTCTCTCTCCCCATTGGACTTCTGATGTTTAAGTCTAGGTAAGAAAGAATTATGTGGAAAAAATGAATGATGATATGCTAGTAATGATTTAATTTTCAATTAAAAATTTTTAATTAATTTACAATTGCTCCTGAATTACCTCTTTCTTCATGCCAGAGCTTCCTAACTGGCAGGCTGAGATTTGATTTCCTCAGGCTTAGAGCATACAGGGTCAAGACCAGGGTGGCCAAAGCCCTCAGGATGGTGGTTTCTGCTTAAAGAATTCTACCCTTGGGCTCCAGTAGGCTGTGTAAATATTAATTATTTTCAATGTGTGCAGTGATGTGGAAARGTTGGTAAATATGGCTCTAGGCAAAATGTGGACTTACATTTTTAAAACATATGCTACATAAAAATAATTTAGGAAAAAAAAAAAGTAGTTGTGGTCTTCSGGGAATTCCTGGTGGTGGTTTGCCCCAGGGTGGGAGTCCTCAGCCCTTTCCTACTGAGCTGAGCTGAGCAYCGTGGGCAGACACTCCCCAGCGGAGGGTACTTGGGCACCTCCTGCACAAGACTATTGGAGGGAGAGGAAGAGGGGCGTTTTAGGACATGATCTTGAACTTGCTCTAATCTATCAAGAGAGAAATAATCAAAAGACAGCGAGCATGTCCACTGTGGGTAGGAACAACGCCATTCTGACCTGCCTCATGACTGATACCGCAGTTAAGAACTGCTATCCCCAGAGAGTAAGTGACATTTTACGCTGTGGCCAGCTCAGTTTAATTTCAAGCCACCAAACGAGAGGTTTTTAGGTATTAAAGGCAAGTAAAAAAAACATCATTTAAATGCTGTATTTACTTATAGCATTAATATAAATAAGAACTTKATCAAGTTCAGTTTTCATGAGAACTGTGCTGTTTGTCCTTCTGTTACGTCCTGGTGGGTCTGATGATGTTGGTAATGCTGTCTGTTCTTCATGTTTTCTGGAAAAGTAACTGAATTAGTATGTCAGTGTAGTACTATCTGAAGAAATCCAAGAGCTATTAAAATGCTTAAAAATAAAATGATCAATTCTTCCTTTGTTCTCTCGACAGGATAATTGAAGCTATCTGCATAGGGTGGTTCACTGCAGAGTGCATCGTGAGGTTCATCGTCTCCAGAAACAAGTGTGAGTTTGTCAAGAGACCCCTGAACATCATTGACTTACTGGCAATCACGCCATATTACATCTCCGTGCTAATGACAGTATTTACAGGGGAGAACTCTCAGCTACAGAGGGCTGGAGTCACCTTGAGGGTGCTCAGAATGATGAGGATTTTTTGGGTGATTAAGCTTGCCCGTCACTTCATTGGTCTTCAGACACTTGGTTTGACTCTCAAGCGATGTTACCGAGAGATGGTTATGTTACTTGTCTTCATTTGTGTTGCCATGGCAATCTTTAGTGCACTTTCTCAGCTTCTTGAACATGGGTTGGACCTGGAAACATCCAACAAGGACTTTGCCAGCATCCCCGCTGCCTGCTGGTGGGTGATTATCTCTATGACTACAGTTGGCTATGGAGATATGTATCCTATCACAGTGCCTGGAAGAATTCTTGGAGGAGTTTGTGTTGTCAGTGGGATTGTTCTGTTGGCATTACCTATCACTTTCATCTATCATAGCTTTGTGCAGTGTTATCATGAGCTCAAGTTTAGATCAGCTAGATATAGTAGGAGCCTCTCTGCCGAGTTCCTGAATTAATGCATTGCAAATCAATTCTTGCATACRCTTGGTTTGATAGAAAGAGTTGACGCTGCTTCATATTTATGTGTTTCTTGCTGGGTGAGCACTGCAGGGGCATTGGCATCATCTTGGTAGGATAAAAATTATCCTTCCCAGCTGAAGGGATGAAACAGTTTACTTATTACGGAGTAAATAGGATTGAGGCTGCAAAGGAAGAGCAATGATCCTGGAGCAAACTTTAGGACTTTATTTGGTTTCAATTTGTCTCTTCCTTGCCTTGAACAATTACATAGTTCTGTTTTGTGTGTGTGTGTGTGTGTGTGTGTGTGTTTTAAAGTACATTATTTGGACACTTTGAAACAGAAAGGTACTATTTTTCAAATGTTTTTCCATCTTAGTGAATTCTGAAGAAGCTTGGAACTTGTAGTGTTATTTTTTGAGACTAACATTTTCATTTCTAAATGTTTTATAATTTCTTGTATCAATGTCAGAAGTATCCTGGAAACATATGTCACATGCAGGAACTGTTTAACAAATACTTTAAAAATTTGGCCAAAATTTAAGCTGTATAATGGAGCTGGATACAAGTGTGAATATTATTTGAGAACCTTTTCCATATTTATCTATCCTCTGCTTTATTTTTATGCCTATTATTTACCTTATCATATCACTTCATGGAAGCTTGAGTATGTTCGCCCTTTTCTATTTTGGGTTTCTTTATCTCCTTACTGAAATGACTTCAARAAAGTATTTAAGAATGAAGAGAGCTTGTATTGTTTAGCGTTTTGTTGGATAATATTAGAATTCATTGCTGTTACTAGGTGATAATTGTTCTAACATTCAGATGTCCAAACAAGAATATTCCCATCATAAAAATGATAATAGAAATAGTTGATATTATCAATATTATAACCCATATTTGTCATCTTCTGCTCTTAACTTTCCCCCCAGACATCATGAGTTTAATGAGACTCACCAGATGAAAGTATATTTATGTAGCCTTTTGATACCAAAGTCATACTTATGTGTTGTCACTAGATTATCATTAAAAAAGGAACATTACTGTACTCTTAGTTGCTGAGTAGCTAAGTCAGTTTTAAGCTAGCTAGAAGCAATGAATACATAATTATTTGACCTGATCTTCACCATTGTAAATCAGTTACGGTAAAACTCTTTTTTGTAAGACTGTTGAGTAATATACCATATTAATCTGGCTAGATTTTTAGTACTAGATAATGTGCAAGGTGATCATTTAGTGCTAAATTTTAACAATATGAGCTAGAATTTTGCCTTTTCAACCAGTTGATAAAAAGAAGTCATTTAGAAACAAAAAATTAAAAGTCATAGATTTATGAATAATTTATTGTGCGCAGTATAATTATTGGGAGTGGAGGAGAGAAAGATTGGGAAGTGGTAGATAGAACAGAGAACCTAAGTGTATTTATAAAAAAAGGGGGGAGGGGGCGCTTACCAGGAATGGTCATTAAAGCAACATTAGCCATCAGCTCATTCAGACTTTTGACTATTATGGGTAGAAACCCAGGGCAAGAGAGGGAGCTGCAGCTAAAACCTGGATCTCCAAAACCAAAACCTAGCCCTGCAGTTTTGTTTRTTTTTGTATACTGGAACTGAACCTRGGAGCCCTCTACCCCTGAGCTATGTCCCTTTATGTTTTTTTTATTATTTTGAGACAGTATTTCATTGAGTTGTTGGGGCAGGCCCTGAACCTGCAGTCCTGCCTCAGCCACAGGAATTTCACTGGAATTTCAGGTGTGCTGCTACTGCAATTAGCTGGGGTTTTGACACCTGGTAGGTTCTGACAAAGCCTTGAGGAATCCCTTTCTTTTTCATTGTCATTGCTAATGTAATGATTACAAAGCTGTCCCCCTCCCAATTTTCTTTCCTGAGTTTAGCTGATATTTAGGCCATTCAAAATCTCACTCCAGGGCTGGGGATGTAGAGAGAGCTTGCCCAGCGTGTGCAAGGACCTGGGTTCMACCCCCAGTACTGGGGGGAAAAAAACCTCATTCTATCATTCTCTCTACTTCCCCCCCTTATTTATATGTTGCTTTTTTCATACTTAGTACATTCTGTTATTTATTGCATATTCATTGTATTTTTAAAATTTTTTAGTTGTAGATGGACACAATACCTTTATTTTATTTATCTAATTTTATATGGTGCAGAGGATCAAACCCAGGTCCTCACATGTGCTAGGCAAGTGCTCAACCACTGAGCTATAACCCCAGCCCTATTCATATTTTAACATAATTGAAATATGTGGCATGGATTTTTAAGTTTATTTTTACCAGTTTGGACTAAGGTGTGGTGATTCAAACAAATAATATGCAAATCATAGCACCTTCATAATACTAATAAAAATATGATCGCCTTCCATTTACTGATACTGGGAACTTTTCATGTGAATATGCATTATCTCCCCCAAATAAATAACTTTCTTGAGGGCTAGGACCCTCTTTCTTACACCCACCTGCATTTCCCCTCAGTGTCCAGACTGGGGCACAAATTTTCAACTGATGTAGGGGTAGAAACTTCTGGCCTGAAAAGAGAAGGATACGTATATGCCCGTACACATACGTGTATAGCCACACATAGGCACACACATATGAACACTGTACACACACAGGCTTCAAGTTGCCCTTAAGTAACAAGTCAAAACTCTCTTGTTGATGATGTCAGACTTTACACAGGGCTGCTTTCCAGAAAGAAGCAAGTGGGCTAAATACTGATGGCAGTTCCACTGCCCATTTATAAAGGAGGGTCTTTTTTATTTTTATTTTTTAAACTGGGGATTGAACCCAGGGGTGCTTTACCACTGAGCTACATCCTCAGTCCATTTTATTTTTATTTTATTTTTTAAATTTTGAGGCAGGGTCTTGCTGTGTTCCTGAGGGTCTTGAGAAATTGCTGAGGCTGGCCTCAAACTGGTGATCCTCATGCCTCAGCCTTCCAAATTGCARGGGTTACAGGCATGCACCACCATACCTGGCTCAGAATTTGTTTTAATGGATGTTATAACATTTTCAGGAGCAGAGGCCTTTTCTTGTAACTTTTCCTGAATATTACTGCTTTAGGTTTTGTTTTTGTTTATTTTTGCAGCTCTGGAGAATCAAACCCAGCACCTCATTCATCTAGGCAAGCACTATACCAGTAAGCTACACCCAGCCCTGAATTTTACTGCTTTTAAAAAAATGATTCTTACTTGTACTTTTAGATATTTCTCATAATTCAATCTTCATGTCAGGATTTTTTTCATTAGGATTTACATCAGTGCTAGTAAGTCAGATATTATCCTAAATTAGAATAACTAAAGAAAAAGGAGGAGGCCCAAATCTTTATTTTGATTTTACCACAAGTGAGCATACAAGACTTGTTCTTTTTTTTTGACGGGGGTGGGGGAGGCGTATGTTGTACTTGGAATCAAACACAGGGGAGCTCTATTGCTGAGTTACTTCAAGCCCTTTTTATTTTTTATTTTGAGACAGGGTCTTGCTCCATTCTAAGGTTGGCCTCAAACTTGTGCTCCTCCTGCTTCAGCCTCCTGAATTGCTGGGATTATAGGCATGTACCATTGCACCCATCGATGACTTGATCTTATAAGTAACTTGGTTTGTATTCTCTAAAATGGGGCTTTGGGGGGATTAGGAAAACAAAGGAAATATATGTGAAATGCAATATTATAAATATTAAACCTTAGATGAATAAGGTTTTGAAGTGTTATCATATTTCACTTTGACATATATACTGTGTTTTCTTTCTTTTTTTTTTTTTTTGGTACCAGGTTTTGAACCCAGAGTGCTTAATTACTGAATCACATGCCCAGCTGTTGTTTTGTTTTGTTTCTTTTTTAATTTTGAGGCAGGGTCTCGAAAAATTGCTTAGAGCCTTACTAAATTGCTGAGGCTGGCTTTCTTAACTTGTGATCCTCCTGCCTCAGCCTCCCAAGCTGCTAGGATTACAGGTGCCTAGCTACTGTGTTTTCATTGTAAGTTGCTGGTTAAAACAGTGGCATTTTTTTTTCCTTGGGTTTGGTTGTTACTTTTAACCACACATTTGTAAATTCTTAAGTATGTTAAAGTATTATTTCACTGTGGCTGCCAGTAAGTCAAAATAATATTTCCTCTTTTAAACTTCTGTGAGATGCTTTTCCAGTTCCTGTTATCTGGCAGAAATAGAGATGGATTAAGTTGAATGTTGGTGCTGGGAGAATTTTTTTTTGTTGGCTTGATATTTTCTAGAAGCAGCTTATTTTTCTTCTTTTCTATAGAAATGAAAATAAAACTCTGAAAACTCCTAGTTCAGATTCACTCTTAAGCTTTATAATGTCAAACTTAAAGCAGAGCTTCACAGAATATTTCAAGAGCCCTCTGACCCTCTATAAATGGGTGTTCTTTTTAGCATGCAATAAACAATCCAATCTATCAAACCTGGTTTAAATATGTTATAGGGTCATAGGAAGTTGGAAATAAAGGGATATTGGAGACCTGCTGGCCTCTCTTGCCCCAGTAGTATACCCTGTGTCCCATGCAGATCATAGCAACCAGGGAGGTGGCTCCTATTGGGTTGTGATTGAGGCATGGTCACATGAGTGTTGGATTAGGCCTCAGAAACCTGATTTCCAGACTTTTTTTTCAGTCCTCTTTGGATATATACTTCCTTTTAAAAATAACATCAGAAAGGATGAAGGATTTCTTTTAAAAATATTTCCTGTGAGGCTTTAGAGCCACCCCCCACTTTAGTTCTAATTAAAAAATATGTGTTTTTTTYTTCTTCTTCTTTTTTTTTTAATCTTTGCAGTGCTGGGGATGGAATCCAGGGCTTCATGCATGCTAGGCAAGCACTCTAGACCATTGAGCTAGGTCCCAGGCCTCAAATATCGTTTGTAGAAATCTTAGATGTCAGCAATGACAGCTCAGAGACCAGTGCAATGTGTAAGSAACTCAGATTTTCAATAGAATTTCCCCCTTTTCTCAATGCACCTGTGCTTACCACCCCACCCCCACCCTTTTGCAGTGCCAGGTGTTGACCCAGGGCCTCATGCC